TTCCCTACATCAGTAGATACTCTTTTATTTATAGACTGAAAACCCAGAATATTATGACGTGTGCAACAGTCTTTTAAGTCAGGACACCCTAGTTGTAAATGCCGTTATTTAATAATTCTTTCAGATTCACTTTACTCGGACCTGGCCTTCTACTCGTGCTTTAAGCTTACTTTTTGTGTTAAAAGCGTTATATGGTCTAGAGAAGCAGCCATTAACTTGGGGGTAAAAAAACTAACAACTTAGAGTACTGTGTGGTTCAGCTGTGAACAGTGTTTACATTATCATATTAATAATGTAAACTCTGAAGATTGATTTAACCAGAAATCAGTATTCTCCCATGACTATATTGGGAAAAGCCTGTGTGTGCTGAGGGAGTTACAAGAGATATCTTAAAAGCCAGTAGACATGTATAAAGTTAGAATAATCAAAAGAATTGACATATCTAAAGAAACAGCCAAAAGAATTGATAGTGATTATCTCTGATATGTTGGAAACTGGGGTGGGAGGGTTGGAACAATGAGCTGCTAATTTTTTCTTACAAACTTAATAACTATGTGCTTGTATTATTTTGATAAAATAAAATGAAAGAGGTGGCACAGGAATGTAACAGGACCTAATAAATTGGATTTTTTAATCATAGATCTTGGTGCAGCTACATTAAAAGTTAAATACTTTCCCTTAGCTTCTGTTTTCAAATATATTCTAATTAGAATAATATGGATATATCTTTTGTCTTCTGGACCCAAGAGATTGCTTAGAGTATTATCACATTTCACGTGCTCTTATTTTTTTGATGCATGTTGTATATTTCAAATGTAATATAAGCCCTAGCTGAGTTTATTCATTAGATGCAGGTTATTCAGTAATAATAACTTCATCTAGTTTATTATTAAAAACATTCTTCTGAATATACCTGATTTCTTGCCCTCATCCCTACGGTGATATTGTTATCCCTCAGAAACTTTGACCCCTAATTTATCAAATGGTATAATGAAGTCAGTACTGTACCGTAAAACTCAGATTTTATTATTTAGTTGTCAGTATTTTAAGCAACTGTTGGGTTGGCCAAAAAGTTCATTTGGGTTTTTCGGTAACATCTTACAGAAAAACCCAAGCTAACTTTGTGGCCAGCCCATAATCAGCACTACCATAGGTGTCTTCTGTTTTCGTCTTGCACTGATGAAGTACGATGATCTGTCCAGAGAGAAGCTTTGTGTTGTTGTCCCAGGAGTGGGATTGGGCTTCTCCTTTGTTTTATAGTCAGTTCAGGAACCATGAAGGGGAGGGATTTCTGGAAAGGTCTTACTGGCTTATTGGTAGTGTTGGGAGGAGCAAAGGGCAGCACGCGCATTCTGTCATGAAGCTCAGCCTCCAGTCAGAATCCAGCCAGTTTATTAGCCAGTCCAGGGAAAGTCTCAATTTGAAACCTCCAAATAAATATTACTATAGCTCACATTTATTGAGTTCCTATGCTTCAGGTACTTAGTAAAGAGCTGTCACGGTATTATCTCATTTAGTCTTCCCCACAATGCTGTGAAATACTTTATGCGTAAGATGACTGTAACTTTTTTTAAATCTTAGGGCGAGTTAATTTTTTTTAATTAATTAATTAATTTATTGGCTGCATTGGGTCTTCGTTGCTGTACGCGGGCTTTCTCTAGTTGCATTGAGCGGGGGCTACTCTTCTTTGCGGTGTGCTGGCCTCTCATTGCAGTGGCTTCTCTGGTTGTGGAGCACAGGCTCTAGGCGTGCGCTCCTCAGCAGTTGTGGCACGTGGGCTCTAAAGTACAGGCTCAGTAGTTGTGACACATGGGCTTAGTTGCTCCACGGCATGTGGGATCTTCCCGGACCAGGGCTCGAACCCGTGTCCCCCGCATTGGCAGGCGGATTCTTAACCACTGCGCCACCAGGGAAGTCCCCAGGGCAAGTTAATTTTTATAGCAAGATAATTGTTTAAGTCCAGGTGGATACTTGGAGACATTTTCATGCTCTGTTACATTATATATGAAAGGTAAAAAGCAAAATGTTATAGAGCCACATCCAGGAGGCTTCTGCAGGTTTGTAATATAATCACAAAGAGATTTTTGTAGTCCTCATTTGAAGTCCTAGAGTTGAAGAAGATTTTTAATTGAGTAAATACTGAGACATTCTATACTTCCTTAGATAAGAAGATAAAAAGATTTGCATGTTCTTCTAGCTGATCTTCAAATTTAATGAAACGTTAATAGAATTGAGAGCATAGGTCTTGGCAGAAAGGGTAAATTTAACAAAGTGATACTAAAATTTACCTAGAAAGAGTTAAATATCTGAGAATCACCTAGAAAAACTCAAAAAGAAGAGTAATAAGGATGGCTGCACCCTACTAAATATTAAAGTATACATCAGATATCAAAGCATCAGGATACTGGTGCCACGCCAGACAAATAGATCTATGCTCCAAAACATTCTGGAACTTCAGTAACAGTCAACACATGTAAAGGTGGCATCTTAAATTAGGTCTATAAACTATTCGATAAAAGGTGCTGTGATGTAGGTCACTACTTCACATGTCAAGCCCAAGATGAGTTTCGTATGAACCAAGGATTTTATTGTAAAAAATAAAAGCATGAAAAGAAAGTGTTAATAATTATATAATCTTGCTGTGGGACAGGACTGCCTAAGAAGGATATCAAAAGCAGATCACATAAAGGAATAATATTACTAGATTTTCTAGGTAAAATTAAAAGCCATATTACAAAACAAAACTTTAAAAATCAAAGACATTAAAAAAACGTAGTAAAAGTTAATGCATATGACTAACGTGTGACAAAGGGTTATTATCTTTAATATAGAAAAGAACTCTTTCAAATGAATATGGAATATTAACTATCCCAAGAGAAAACTGGTCAAAGAACATGTGCACTTAATACTAACACAAAAATCAGTAAACAGATTGCAAAGTACTTAACCTCAGAAGTAATCAAATAAATGAAAATCGTTATATAATATCAGTCATATTAGCAAAGATTAAAAGCAATGATGGTGTTCAGTATTAGTGAGGGGAAAGGAAAGTGGGCATTCTCATATACTGTTGGGCTTCTGTTCCTGAAGACAGTTTGGAACCATGTGTCAGAAATCTTGATATTTGTATCTTTTCATCTGTGCCTCTGGTGATGATCCTTAAGAAGCAGGTAGAAAACGGTTCAAAGATACATGAAGATAAATGTTTACTGTAGTATCAGTAATAGTATTAGGCAAACTTATATAGTACCATAGGAGACTGCTTAAACTATGGACACCTAAACAATGGAATACTACTCAGTCATGAAAAGTAAAGGTGCAAAACTGTACTTAGTGCCTTAGAATACCTTTTACAATATATTAAGCGGGAGAGAAGAAAACAGATTTCAGAGTGGTAGGGACATATTCTAATTTATTTGGTTTTTAAGGTTTATATGCATATTTTTACACGTGGAAAAGTCCGGAAGTATGAATGCCAAAATGTTAATTATACTGACCTCTGGATATGAGACTTAATATGATTTAAAGTTTATTTCTTCTTAAGTCTGGTTTTTTTTTTCCATTCACCAAACATTTATTGAGCTAGTGCTGTGACTAGCCATTGTATTTTCTAAAATGATAAAATATAATTTATACAGTAAAAATTTGATGTTGTTTTAGGGAGGTAGTTACAATTTAGAGATATTTCCATTAAATGATTGAAATAATGTCTTGGTCATTAAAGTGGTATGTTCAGTTATTCATTTATTTGTAGCACTTTATTCATGAAAAGTACAGAATAAAATGAGACATTAGTGTAATGTGCTGAAGCAGCCCAAAATGATCCTAGTAAGAGAAATTATTTTCATTCGTGTGAAACATAAGCCATCTGTATCTAACGTAGTCTTTCTTCACATGGAAAGAGAGATGTTGATTGCATGGTCTACACTGCTTTGTATTTAAATCAGAAATAAGGTTCTCATAGGTTCATTGTGAAAAGAATGGGTTTTTAATGGTGAGTAGCCACAGTTGCATATTTTTAATTTCTTAATTTCAGGCAACTACAAGAACAGCAACGACAAAAGGAGCTGGAGCGGGAAAGGCTGGAGAGAGAAAGAATGGAAAGGGAGAGATTGGAGCGGGAGAGGTTAGAAAGGGAAAGGCTGGAGAGGGAGCGACTAGAACAGGAGCAGCTGGAGAGAGAGAGACAAGAAAGGGAACGTCAGGATCGCCTGGAGCGGGAGAGACAAGAGCGGGAGAGGCTGGAGAGGCTGGACCGGGAACGGCAAGAACGAGAGCGGCAAGAGCAGCTAGAAAGGGAGCAGCTGGAATGGGAGCAAGAGCGAAGAATGGCAAATGCCGGTAAGAAGTTGACCGATTGTTCCGTGTTCCTGATGTCTGAGCTTGGATGGCAGTTCGTGTATTAGAAAGAATATTTCACATTTGAGGTGCTTGGGATTAAGCAATACGATTTAAAATTAGAACAAATATGTGGCTATTGCTGCTTTAACATTTTCTTTTTTTATTTCTATTGCTTTTATTGCTTGGAGACTTAAAGAAAGCTCCAGGAAATTTTTATTCTGGCATTTAATTCTTCGAACTCCCTATAAATTGGCTATAAAGTGTAAGTGTGTTTTTATGGGAAATTTTTATATTAGATGAATTTGGAATATATTTTCCTTCTGAGAGTGCTTAAATTGTCTTGAATACCGTAGCATTCCAGAAATTTGTTTGATTGTATTCTAAAGTTTTTGAAGGAGGAATTAAAAACAGTAGGTTAAAAAGTATCCTCTCTAGAGCTGACTAGTAATTTAAATATATGCAAGTATTGTGAAAAATTAGTAAAAATTACTACATCTGATGGAATTTTATTGAAAGACATAAGGGTTAAGGTATGACTGAAAATTTGAGGTATTTTGACATTCATTAAAATTAACATTTATTATAGGATTTAAGAATTATTATTTTATTCCATATGGCCTATATCTAAAGTTTCAGTGTGGGACGATTAAATACTGGTTGATTGGTTTGTTGTTTGAGTTCATTCATTTGCTTTCGATTGCCTAACTGTTTTCTGGAGTTATAGCCAGCAAAACAAAACTGTTCCACAAATAAACATTGAATTTGGGGGTTTCTAGCCCTTTATGATAAACTTTTTGCTAGTTTCTCTCTTTATTATTTAAAAAAAACAACTAAGCTTACTCTTCTTTGTGGTCTTATTCATGTAATGTTAATGTCCTTTTAGTGGACGAAATAATGAAAATTAAGACTACGGTATTTTTCTTGTAAAGAATAAGCTAGTCAGTTTAATTTATCAGTCGACTTGTTAGAGTAAAAGAAAACGTGTGTCCTCTTTGGGATCTCAGAATGTATTTATAAGTTAAGACATTTTGGAGTGAAATTAGTTATTTGCCCATATGTGCTTATTCTCTGGTACTAACTGTAGTCTACATTTGTACATTTTGTCTGAATGCTGGTTTTGTGGCTTTACTAGCTCCCTTTTTCTCTCTCCTTTTTTATCCTGTCTTTCGCCGCTGCTTTCCACCTCTGTCCAGCTCCATCTTCCGACAGCTCCCTGTATCATGCTCCACTTCCCGAGTATGCCAGTTGCCAGCCTCCTTCAGCACCTCCTCCATCATATGCTAAAGTCATCTCAGCTCCAGTGTCAGAGGCCACTCCTGATTATGCTGTAGTGACCGCTTTGTCACCCGCTTCCACACCCCCTACACCACCACTTCGACACTCCGCGACACGTTTTGCAACATCTCTAGGTTCAGCCTTCCACCCTGTTCTTCCCCATTATGCTACAGTTCCTCGTCCTCTGAACAAAAACTCTTCTCCTGTGAACACACCCTCTCCTCAACCTCCAGCTACGAAGCCCTGTGCCTGGTCTACTTCCAGTTTCTCGCCCCTCCCTCCGTCTCCTCCAGTAATGATTAGCAGCCCCCCAGGCAGAGCTACTGGTCCAAGGCCTGTCCTCCCCGGTTGTGTTTCTTCTCCTGTGCCCCAGAGGCCTCCGTCACCAGCGGCCCCCAGCGGGCTGCTCGACTCTGTCACGTGTCCAGTGTCTCCGCCGCCTACCTCAGGGCCAGCTGCGCTGCCACCGCCTTCCCTCGCACCACTCTCACACTGTGGATCTCAAGCCTCGCCTCCTCCAAGCACCCCTGTTGCCTCAACTCCCTCATCCAAGCCTAGTGTTCTCCCTTCTCCCTCTGCAGCTGCCCCTGCCTCTGTGGAGACTCCTCTAACCTCTGTGCTGGGAGACTCCTCTGCTTCTGAGCCAGGCTTGCAGGCAGCCTCTCAGCCGGCCGAGACTCCAGCCCAGCAGGGTAAGGCTTCCGTTATTGCGACTAACAGCTAATCACTTGGAAATGTTACACAGCCGCAGCTTTAATTGCCTAGAAGAATGGGGAGGATGGTTTTTGAAAAAGGCGAAGGTGGGTTCTTTTCTGTTGGATTGATTGCATTTGGAGGATCAGTATGAGGGATTTCCATATTGAACTAGATTTGGATATCTTCTGCCGTGTCATAGTCAGAAGTGTTGTGCAGTATTTAAGGGCCTTTGTATGTTTCTTTTCATTTTCACTAGGAAAACACTACTTGATACATAAATCCAATATTGATATAATCAAACTTGTCTTCCTTTAATTTCTGGGAAACATAGAGATTATATTTAGTGCCCAACTGTTGTCATTAGATCTGTCGTCCAGGAGTCTCCTCTAGGACAGTTCTGATCTTGGACCCTATTTCGTTTTGGCCTCTCCTGTACGTATTGGGCTTCTCATATCAGACTTGCAGGGATGGGTGCCACGCTAAGCCCTGGGGAGCAGCCCAACTTTGCACAAAGGGTGGAGAGGATGGCAGGCTTGATATGTGCCCCAAAGGGTTCCATGGTCCAAAATTCCAAGAAGTAGCAGGCTGAAGGGATAGTTGGGAGAGGATAGCATCCTCTGCTGTTATCCCCCCACTCCCCATGCCTGAACTTTGCTGTCACAGTGACAGGAGAGGGAGGATGTAATCTAAGTATGGATTATTTGTAAGCAGAGAAGGACCTTGTTCTATAAGTAAATAAGAAGATGCTTAACCCGCTCCCTTTTAAATTTGTACTTAAAAAAGGAACGGTGTTGTAGTCTGGATTTAAAACATTTATATAAAAAAAAATTCTTAGCTCTTAAGGGCTTGTTATTGCTGTGCGTATACTTTTCATGTTGACTTACTGAATTTGCTTAAAGGTTGAGTCACAACTCTAGTAGGTGCAGTTCAGTATCATTGTGAAAGTGACTCTGGAACAAGAGAGACACAGTTAGCCTGACAGAGTCCAAAGGCCCACCTCCTGTATCCTCAGAGCTCTGATGACCCCTCATGCAGCCCATCACTGTATTCTTCCAGCAATTTATGATTCCAGCTTGTGTAACTGTTCAAAGTTAGCAGTTTCAAAAAACTTACCACCCAGTTTGCAAATACCATTTTATTTGTCCTAAAATACCCCTTTGAGCCTAAAGGAAGGGGGAGGACCTACAGGGTCAGTCTCCCGGTTCCTGTTCTTGTCCACTCCTTTGTGATTTTACAAGATCTGGACATTTCTCTCTTAACCCCTGTCTTCTGTACTTCAAATTCTATGTCTCCTAGTTATTTCTGATAGTTGTTTTGAGGTTTTACTTTGTTCTAGTAGATTCCTTTACTTCAGTGATTCTCAATTCTCTTTATACATTGCTTTTAAATGTGGAATATTTTTGAGATACTGAAGCCTGGGACCCACCCTTCTTTCATGTTCTCAATTCAGCCACTTTGGAAAGCAAGTAACTATATGCTTTCACTGTTGTAGAATTTATTGTCTCAACTCTTAAGGTTTACCCAGATGATTTTGGTCTGTTATTTTGAACAGCAGCACTAACTGCCATCCTTATACATTCAGTTGTCTTTTCGGGGATGCTGCCTCTGTCCCACATTTTATAAGCATTTATTTTGTTTATGTACCAAATGCCCGTGAGCAAAGGGGAAAAAAAAACTAATTTAGACGATCTGTTGCAAAGTTCTATTAATAAAGCTCTAACAGTAAAAGGAGTAGTTATACGCTTTGGCCGTAATTGTTAGTATTTTTTTAATACTGATTTGGACTTTAAATATTATGATAAATTGAACTCGTTAATTTGTACTAAATGTTCAAGTTAATTTAGCATGTCATTCTACATGCTCTTCCTCCTAAGATAGTGTCACTTAGCTCTGTTGTTGATGGTCTTAACATTCCTTTCTCTCAGGCATTGTCTTGGGACCACCTGCACCTCCCCCCCCTCCTCCACTCCCGCCAGGTCCTGCCCAGGCATCAGCCGGACTTCCTCCTCCCCCAGGACCCCCTCCCCCCCCTCCACTTCCGTCCTCAGGGCCCCCGCCTCCGCCTCCTCCGCCGCCTCTTCCTAATCAAGTACCCCCTCCTCCCCCCCCACCTCCTGCTCCTCCCCTCCCTGCATCTGGATTTTTTTCGGGATCCATGTCTGAAGACAATCGCCCTTTAACTGGACTTGCAGCTGCAATTGCTGGAGCAAAACTTCGAAAAGTGTCACGGGTAAATGCATCTCCTAGTTAATTGTATTTTTACGTTATGTCTTATTCTGTCTCAGTATCTAAAACATCGACTTTATTGTATTCTGATTTTATGAACCCTATGTTATTAACTTCATCGACTAAAAAACATGTGAAATAACTTAAACTTAATTAAAGTTGCAAGAATCATAGTTTCTGTAACATTCACCACTTAACATTTTACCACATTTGCTTTATTATTCTTTGTGTATGTTTCCTTCTGTATAAACAGACACACGCACTCTCTTTTTGTCTGAATTGAGAATAAATCAGAGACACGTTGCCCCATTTCCCTAAATACTTAACCTCTGTATTTTGTAAGAACAAGGACATTCACCTACATGACCACAGCATGATTATCAAAATCAGGAAATTCAATTGATACGATACTATAATCTACAAATCTATGCAAGTTTCATCTATTGTCCAATAACGTCTTTTATGGCACTTCTTTTTCTACTCCAAGATCACCTGTTATATTTTGTTGTAATGTCTCTTTACTTTTAATCTGTAATGTTTCCTCAGTCTCCTCTTTCATGATATTGACAGTTTTGAGGACAACAATATAATTATTTTGTAGATCATCCTTCAGTTTGGTTTATCTGATATTTTCCTAAGATTTGATTCGAGTTATGCATTTTGGGGGGCAGGTTTTACATTTTTTACTACCAACGTAATATGTCCTTTTCAGTGTATTACACAAGGGGACATGTGATAGCATTTTATCCCATTATTGGTGATATTAGCTTTGATAAAACTTCACTGATACATAAAATTACTCCATTGGTCCTTAAAGTTTAAAAAATAATATCTAGGTGTTTTTATTGAAATGAATGCTGATACATCCTTCTGTTTTGAATGTAATATATTAATAAACATAGGATTGTCCCACATAGGAGTTTATTATGTATGTATATTCTCATTAAGATGGAGGATGCCTCTTTCCCAAGCGGAGGGAATACCATTGGTGTGAATTCGGCCTCATCTAAAACAGATACGGGTCGTGGAAATGGACCCCTTCCGTTAGGGGGCAGTGGTTTAATGGAAGAAATGAGTGCCCTGCTGGCCAGGAGGTGAGTGAGAAATTATATGGATGTGTCCAGAATTGAGAGGATTTTGTTACTTTTATTCTAAGTATAATTTAACTAGATGCAGTTCTTCCCTTTTGGCATAATTTTACACTAAGTTACCTGATGTTTTTTAAAAAAATTGATTTACCTTCTTTCTAGGAGAAGAATTGCTGAAAAGGGATCAACAATAGAAACAGAACAAAAAGAGGACAAAAATGTAAGTTAATAAAAATAGTCTACTACATGGAGACTTCTCTGGTGGTCTAGTGGTTAAGACTTTGCGCTTCTACTGCAGGGCCGCGGGTTCGATCCCTGGTTAAGGAACTAAGATCCCACGTGCTGCGTGGCGCAGGCAAAAAATAAATAAGTAAAAATAAAAATAGTCTACTACACCTGAAAATGTGAAATTCAAGTATAGCTCATTCAGGAAATTGTGTCAAAGATTAGTTTGAACTTAATTAATTTCAACTAACAGTTGTTTCATTTTAACTCTTCAGATACTAAAAATGGTATTATTTATAAATTTTTAATGGCATTCTTACTTAGTAAAATGGGTTGAATGTGTGGAGTTGGGGGAAAAGCACTGAAATTCTCACCTTTAGAGTTTAATTCTGTACCCAAGCCTACCATTGAAGGAGTGAATGACCTTTTACTAGGTTTTTTAAATCTCTTAAAGTCTCAGTTTCCTTACATTTATAAATTTATTTATTTATTTTATTATTTATTTTTGGCTGCGTTGGGTCTTCGTTGCTGCGCGTGGGCTTTCTCTAGTTAGTTGCAGCGAGCGGGGGCTACTCTTCGTTGCGGTGTGCAGGCTTCTCATTGTGGTGGCTTCCCTTGCTGCGGAGCACGGGCTCTAGGCGCATGGGCTTCAGTAGTTGCGGCTCGCGGGCTCTAGATCGCAGGCTCAGTAGTTGTGGCGCACGGGCTTAGTTGCTCCGTGGCATGTGGGATCTTCCCCAGCCAGGGCTCGAATCTCTGTCCCCTGCATTAGCAGGCAGATTCTCAACCATTACATCACCAGGGAAGTCCAGTTTCCTTGCATTTAAAATGAAGGAATTAGACTCAATCATGGTTTTCAAATGTTTCCCCTAGGAGCCCCGTGGTTATTAGCTGTGCCCCCCTCTCTAGTTCAGGAGGGCAGACTCTGCTTTATTTGTTTTATATATTAGTGTTTAACAGTATAATTGTTTTTGCCCTGCTGCATTTGGCCTTCTTTGATGCCATTCAAATCTCTCTGTCATATCTGGCTTAATCACATTGGCGAGCACAGCTCTCAATGAGGACGCATGAGGAAAGGAGCCATGGGGAGCGGCAGGGGGTGGGAACAGGGGTGGAGGTGCTAGGATAAGGAAAAGGTCTAAACTAGTGTAGAAGGGAGAAAAGATTGTTGAAGGGAAAAGTGGGAAATGGCAGAAAGTATGAAACACCAAATGTCTACAATAGGTTTCTAAAAGATGTGGTATTATTAATATGTATTTCTGTATATTTAGGAAGATTCAGAGCCTGTAAGTTCTAAGGCCTCTTCAACAAGTACACCTGGTAAGTTCGAGATATATTTTAATCTTTATGAACTTTCTGTAAGTATCAACACTCCTCAATTAAAAATTCCCCATTTCCCCATGTTTGGATAAAGCGACTGCTTAGTTACTAAAACGTTCAAGTTCTTTGTTCACACTTGAGAGCACTGACTTTTTCCTCTACCTTTTGTGACCCCAAAAGCAGCTGTTAATTTCTTTCCAATATTGGGAGATCTATTAAAATTCAAAGTTTTTTTCTGATGACTCTTTCTCTGAAAATCATGATTTTTGCACATTCTGTATATATTATTGTTAATGACTTGAAGTTATTCACTTAAGGAAAAATATGTTATCCATATGAAAGGGAAATATTTTTAGTCATTGATTCTTAAAGGTAAGGATTATGTGAGCATGTAGCTAGCATTGAAGTCTATCTCAAAACATTCTCTCATTGAATCGTCATTTTAGCCATTCATTTGCATAATATTGATAATCAAGGAAATAAAGCTTCTAATTTGTAAGCTTGAAAAAATTTTAAACAACGAGGATTTACTGTATAGCACAGGGAACTATATTGTAATAATCTATAATGGAAAAGAATATATCTGTGTGTATTTAGCCGAGTCACTTTGCTGTACACCTGAAACTAACACAATATTATAAATCAACTATATACTTCAATTAAAAAAATAATAGAAATAAATCTCCTTAAAACTTTTGGGAAATGTTCTTGAATTCAGTAAAATTTCTGACATTGAGAAGTCTTGGGCATAGAATATATTACTTAGAACATTAACAAAATACATTTCACTGGAGGTACTTAATGATGACTATATCCATATTTAGAATATGAGATTGTTACGTGTACATGTCATTTCTTCATATTTGACTAAAGGCTAAGCATTAGACTGTCGATTCATCTCCTTACCTAATTTGGAATGAAGTGACATAAGTAAATTTGATGAGTTTGATGAACTAATATTTAGAATGAGCCATAAGAATCCATTAATAGGAAATTGTCTGTAACCACTCGTTCTCATTATTGAGTAGTGACTCTTCAGCGGTCCGATTGCTGTATTATAATTTATATTGTGACTGTGAATAAGTTTTCCTCTGAATAGGACTCAAATCAGTTTATGTTATCTTCATTAAAAATTCGAAGCCAAAATCAAAATACATGCTGTTATTAAAACCATAGATGTTTTAGAATTCAACTATAATTTGGGGTCACAGAAACTTTTAGAATTTGAAAAGAGCTATGGACCCTCTCCCAGGGAGGGAAAAATCATATTTTTATACAAAATTGGTCACCATTGCAAAATATTCGTGAATTCCCTGAGGGTTATCTATGGACTCCAGTTAAGAACTCCTTATCTAATATATATCCCCTTATTTAAAATATGAAACCTGAAGCATGGATTTTGCATGTGTTTTTGTGTGTATGTTTGCATATGTGTGCCATGTTTATAAAGTTAAGGTTCCTTCAGAAGGTCTGGAGGCTTCTTTTTTTTTCTCACTTGTTTCAGTCAAAAAAAAATTTTTTCCCCCTAATTGCCACGTGTCAGACACTTGACAGGCCAAAAAGAAGCTAAAGATAAAGTCACCCTAAGCGCAAGAAATCCATGGTTCAGCTGGGATGATGAGATACACACAAGTGAAAAGTTCATCTTTTGCAACCACATGTTGAATTATTAAATAATGTGTCAAAGAGGGAGGAGATTGTATAGTTTGGAGTCACCTGGGTCGCCTTTGTAGGAAAAAAAATGACATTTTACCCTGCCTTAAAGAGTATTTATTTACCTTAGCTGAAAGAGAGGAATGGGTGCTGTTTCAGGAAGTGGGTACGTCGTGGGCAAAGATGGGAGGTGGAGCTGGAAGAGACTAGGAAATATCAGGTAGACTTGCCTGACTAGGATGGAGGGTTCTTTTTGAGGCGTATTGGGGGGAGAAAGTTTGGAAAAGCGAGTTAGAAGTAAAATGTTGAAAGCTTTTTATGAAAAGATCAGGAGTTTAGACTTCATCCTGCAAAGAATTGAGTTGACAATCAACTGAAACTGTTCTAGGAACATTAAAATTGCAGTTGTGAGCAGAGTGACGTAGAAATCAGGGAGGACCAAGATAGGGAAACAGGTGCCAGTAAGGATTTGGTGTGTTTCCAAAGACCCGATGAAGGCAACCCAGCCTCTGTCCTTCCTCCTGAAACCGACCTGGAGCCCCTTGGAGAGAACACGGCCTCACTATCTGCAGAGCCAAAGTGAACTGCTCTTCCGCAAAACCACATGCGCTCTCTGAAGATTAAAGGATAGTTCTGGTTTGGCTGGTTGAGAAAGGACGTCAGCCAACTGTTAAATGGTAGCAATTGCTACGTCTTATCATGTTGGAATTATTTCTTCATCTCTTTGCCTGCCTCTTCTTTAGTGACTGTCCTAATGGCTATTCTCTGCCTGTCCAGTTGTCCTTCAGGATTTCCCTCTTTTCCCCTCCCCTGGCAGATGTCTCTTGGATGTGTCTCTGGTTCTGTCTGTCGTGGACTTCCCCATCTGATTATCTGATGTCCCCTGGCTCACTCTGTGGTGGTCAGTGAGAGTGTGTGTTAGCTGTTAGAATACAGATGAAGGAGTAACCATTGATTGATTGACAGGGAGTAAAGCAAGATGAAAGATGACTTTGTTACTTTGTTTCACACCTAGGTGACTGAATGCAACAGAAATCCAGAACAAAAGCAGTGTTTCAGAGTTTGAGTTGATAGTTTAAGTTTAGTTTTGCATGTGTGCAGTTTGAAAAGAGGACAAGCTACCTCAGTAAGAATGTGCATAGGCCAGTTGAGGGGCTACCTTGGAACTCAGACCAGTTTTTTTAGCTAAAACTCTGTGCAGCTTGTATGTAGACTTGATTCTCATGCGGCCCAGATTCATCCTTGCATGACAAGCTTCCACTCCAGATTTCGCCCAGTCATCCAGTGAGGCCAGTGACGGCATCAGCGAGGCAGCCCAGATTAGAAAAACAGTTCAAAGCACAATCAACTAAAAGCTCAGAGGGAACTTTCTTTAACTGGAGTTGTCTGCTAAGTCCCAAGAATTGGATTGGTTGTTTGACAATCAAGGAAGTACAATACAGTCGGATGATTCTGAAATATATTTTGAGTTTGAATTTTTTCCCAAGAGGACTGTTTGAATTTAGATTAACTATTGAAGTACATGAGCACATTAAAGATTCTTTTTATTTGTTTTACCACTGGCACTAAAAATAGTTTAAAAGAGTATAGTTAATACTATCCCATTCTAATAAATTTAAGCTATCCTTATTAATTTAAAATAATTTTCACAATTCCATTCTAATTAATTAAAATTGTCTTACCCTTAATCTTATTATCCTGTCTTTATTAGAGAAACTTCTTACCATCTGGTGTTTAAAATCATTGTATTTTAGATTTAACAATCTAAGTTCTTCTTAGGGAAACTTGTCATACTTGCTTATTAATTTCTTCTCATTTTGCGGTCTGAAATGGTACAAATTAGAATCCTAACTCTGGGAGCATATAGGATATTTAATAACTTACATTCTTTTATTTTTAAAGAACCGACAAGAAAACCTTGGGAAAGAGCAAGTACAATGAATGGCAGCAAGTCACCTGTTATTTCCAGGTATCAGTTTTTTTCCTGTTTTATTTTAGAATTGTCCCTGAAAAGAAACCTGCATTTTTATTGTAAAAAATATTCGAATGGTAGATCTGAAATTGTACAAAGGAGCAAATAAGACATCTATAATCCTACTGCTGTTGGACGACCACTAAGCCCCACTGTATTTTTATTAGTAATTGTCTAAATTCTACCCTATGCTTATTATTGTCACCCAGGTTGTCTGAAATTTTAAGATAGCTTTATTCCTCCCAATTTTTTAATTTTGAAAAAATTCAGAACTGCAGAAAAGTTGAAAGAATAGTGTAGCAAACGTCCATGTACCCATCACTTAGATTCACCAGTTATTAACATTTTGCCCGCATTGGCTTGAACTCATATCTACACATCCACACTTTCTTCTCTCTGAATAGGTGGAAGGCAGTTTGCAAATCTGTGCTGCTTCAGCCTGAATACTTTAGCATTTTTATTAAGAAACAGGACATTCTCCTGTATAACCTCAATACCATTATCCCTGTCAATAAACAACATTGAACTTTTGAAAGAAACTTATGTTTTAAACTGAAAAGCAGCTGGAGAGAAAAAGCTACAATGTTTAAGAGAGAGTAAAATAAAACCTAAAATTTTGAATTTATAAAGTAGAAAGATCTATTTTTCAGTTGAAACTTCTGATTATAATCGAGTTAGAAAAGATAATGCTCAGAAACAAGACTGGTTAATTCGTGTTTCTACAAGTGGCTTTGTATGCATGGTCAAGCAAATTCAGTATTTCTTAGCCAGGCATACTTTACTATCATAACTAACTTTATATCATAGGTCTTTAAATATAGATGAAACTTTTTCTTGGTTTATGAGACAGTTTAAAGGACTCATATTTTTTCCAGAGAAAGGTATGTATCTAGAGACTAAAAAGTTTTTTCGCCTTTTCTGAGCTATTTGTCTTATTTTTGCCTCATAAAAAGCAAATTTGAGTCTAATTATAGAAACTTAATAAAGAAAAATGCAAGAGTAGATCTTATATTGTCACAAATCTGTTGTGTGTTAGCTTCAGTCTAAGTTTGGGTTTGTTTTTTGTGTGGTTCTTTCTGTTGGTGGGAAGATTTGGTGATGACATAGTTATTTAAGCTCCGCAAAGAAACTGGGCCTTTTTTGAATGTATAGAAGCTTTCAGTTTCTAAGTGACTGAAAGATGAATGTATTTGATTTTAGGAGAAGATGGCAGTATTGCTTTTGGTAAACATGTTTTTTCAGTAGAGTAGAAAAATTGCACATTTATGTTCTCGGGTACCTAATTGATGTGACCTTCTAATGCATCTCCAGTAGTTGTTGCAGATTTTCTTCAGTAGCACATTACGAAGCCTGGTTTATCAGGTGCATATCAGAACAGAACTGTGGCGTGCCATTTGTCCTTTGTCACTACTTTCATCCTTTCCTCATTGATAGGGATTCTGTAGTGAGCTTGGCTAAAGCTAAACTTAAATTCATGGCAAAAGTCCTATCTTAGAAGGGACATGGAAAGCTTCTCCAGGTGGAATGTATGTGTTCCTTGATGTGGGTGGGTTCATTTAATGAAGGAAAGAATTTTATTTCAGAGATTTTTCAGACTTCTAAAGGAAGTTTAAGTAAGTGCTCTAAACATCACCATTTAAAAAATATTTTGTCAAATATGGGTTCTTATATCTAGTAGTGTATTGTAATGAGGTTCTAGCTCTGGTAGATAGTTTTCCTCTCTCTTCCCAAAATAGACGTTCCGATTCTTTCCTGAGCGCTCATATCCCTTTTGATAGATTTGATCCAACCACTGATATGTATGTCTTAAAATTTCACTGCAAGCAGTTTTAAACCATAAAAGATTTTTAAAATATGTTTAAAAGACTAATAACTGTATTGTTTTGCTTCCTAAATTATTTACCCTCTTCCTTCTGAAAGCAAGTATATTGGCCATTTTTTGTTTTTATTTAAGCACACTTTATTCTTGCACAGTACTGAAAGTACCCATTTCTCTTCTGAATATCCATGTCAAAATTATGTTAGTGATAAGATGGATTAATATCCTATAATATACATGAGATATTGCATTATGCTATATTTATTAAGTGAAGATGTCAGACAGAATAAAAGCAAGAGTGTTGAAGTTAAAAATGTTCTAAATCATGACTAGAACATAACATTGGAAAGTTTGTGAATTCTTCCTGTGGTTTTTATTAAGAGCTTACAGATCTTGTATTCAAGATGGAAAAAGAGTCCTTTATGTACCTCCTGAGAAGAGTTAATTATGTGTACTTCAAGCTATAGTGATTTTTATTGTGTTTTTTTATTTGAGCCTGTAGTTTTATTTATATTCACCCTAATAGAAATGTCTTTGGTTGTGTTCTGATACTTGTTGAATCTTTGTATAGGTAGATTTTGCTCTGTCTGCCGTCTGTAAAAGTAGCCATTGCATAATGATTTTTAAAAATTCTCTATAATTGTCAAGTAAACAGTGTCCTCACATAACTAGACTCCGTCTCCAAATAATTTTTTTTTAATTGGGAAAAACAATTATTCTAAAGTTAATGGACTCCTTTAGTTCTTCTGTTTGCTATAACTAAAAACCTATAAAACAGTAACATAATGAGAATTAATTTTTACAGTTCTATTGTATACCCCTTTAAATGGTTTTTCCCCTTCATAGACGGGATTCTCCAAGGAAAAATCAGATTGTTTTTGACAACAGGTCCTATGATTCATTACACAGGTATCATCCTGATGTGACTTTGTGATTTGAGACTTTGAAATAATATGTTATAGGGCTGAGCTTTTTCTACATGGATTGGTCATCACCACAGGGAGAGATGTAGGCAGATTGAGCCTTTCATATTTAGCTGTATTTAGAACACTTTTTTAAAAAATTCTGAGCGATTTTAATGAGAAAAATTAATAGATTAATAGTATTCATTTCCCCGCCATCAGTTTATATTTGGATTATGATAAATATAAATGCTAAACATATCAGAAATACTAGCGTGGGAATCTAAGGCCTCATATATCTAGAGTGTTTGTAGCTTCTGCATTTTATTTTAAAGGCCGTTCTCTTTATGAGTATAAGACAAGGCTTTAAAAGTTGAATAGAAGATCCTGTACTGTTTGTCAGTGGAACACAGGACAGTATTATAGCCACAATTGTGAATAATTTATTATTTGAGGAAAATCTCTATTTCCTACATACTTTGAGTATACTGAGTATCTTTAACAACCTAACATCCTTGAGATTATTTCTTTTCTAGGATGAGTCTTATTATACCATTTTTTAATTAAGAAAACTTAGGATATGAGCCATGTATTTCTTTCTTAATTAAAAAAATTGACAATTACTTAAAATCCTCAAGTTCTTAAGCCATATTTAGAATTAATTTAGCAGAATAGAGACTTAAACAGTTGTAGTACAGTTATTTTATAGGCAGGTATCTAGAGGCAACACTCTCATTATAAAGTAATAAAAACCTCTGAGAATCCCCCTTTTTTGTTATCAATTATGGTAAAAACCCTTATGTTAGAAATAACTGAGACATACCCATGTTATTATATACATCTATTTTTAAAAATACACATCAAGTCTACTGGGAGCATGAATTAAATAGTATATGGAGGGGGTGTCTATGGCAGTGAGTAAGGAGTTCTGTAGTCAGACTCTGTGTGGCCAGACTGTTATTAGGTACAATTATTTTCATGCCATAGATGATTAAAATATTTGGTAAGTTCATTTTGTCAGCCAGTTAAATCTGCATAAATTGTTCATAATACAATAGTGAAACAGTTTCTCCTGCTTTTTTTGAGATGGTTTGTTTTGACCAGAAGACTTATTTAGAAAATTTGCTAGCACATAGAAAAGTAGCATTTAACAACGAGATTTTCTGTTGTAAATCTTCTCAGTTACCTTGCTGCTTTCATACAGTAGTGCCCCCTGGGATAATGTTGATAAGCCTTTTTTGAGAAGTGGTGATTACGTCTTTCCTTCAGTATGAAAAGTTCCCCCCTTTAGTAAATTATCACGGTGGTGGTGGTGGTGGTGGTGGTGGTGGTGGTGGTGGTGGTGGAGGTGGAGGTGGATTGCATGTTAGCATGAGTTAAAGTTTTTAAAATTTGCATGTTTCCACAATTTTCTGTCATATAACAATAATTTTTTGCATTGTTTATTAAATATGGATATATTCATAACATACTGCCTGGTTAAGTAGCAGACCGTAGTTATTCACATGAATTTCAGGGATAGTCTGTAACATCTTACAAAAAAACCTGACGGAAAAACTCAAACGAACTATTTGGCCAGCCCGGTATAAGTTTAGGAGAAAACAGTTAGCTAGTTTGTACCAGTTAAATGTGAAATGTCAAAGAAAAGCAGAATAAATAATAATTTACTTCTGGAGAGCAGGAATCAAAAGAAAAGTGTTAACCTCCCTTATATTCTGATTTCTAGTTACACCCTCTTAACTCAATGCACAGTATGTCAACCTTTATGAATATTTACTGTATAGACCAGACCCTCCAGAGCACTGTGACTTGCACACTGTGGGTCTCAATACGTCTTAATTGACTGTAGAATTAAGTAGTCTCAGCAAAGTGAAAAGGGTCTATTGTCTCGAGGGAAGGAAGTACGTCATATAAATCTTCTTATCCAACCCAGGGCCTAGCTCAGTGCCTCTTGAAAGAGGTTTTCTGAAAGTTATTATTTTTCTTGTTCATATAAACATAGCAGCAGATATGTAATAAAATTGGTTGTCTTCCTTCACAACAATCTTTTAAGTTGTCATATGTTTGATGTTAAAGCAGATTAACTCAATATTTCATCTTCACAAACAGTGCCTATGGGTTTGAAGTATAAATATGCCTTATAACAATTATAAGTTTGAAAAAGTTATTATACCTATTGAATCTTGGTTGAAATTTCTAACATTGGTACTCTGCAAAGTTGGAAATATATGACCTGATGAATGGTTTTCATTTGCATTGATTTGTGACCCTTAAAGAGTGGCCACTTAGTATATACTAAACCTGAAAATAAAGGACCGTCTAATTAAAATTCTAGATTTTCCACTTAGTATTTTCTCTCATTGCCAGAATTGGAGAGGGAGCCATGACTGACTGACTTGATAAAAATATACCTAATACTTAAGACTTATTTCTTCATGTAAAATTTTTAACAGAAGCTAAACTTTTGACAGTGCAATAGTAATTGACCATCTGCTTCTGTGTGGCATTCCCCTCCCTTTTTCTTTTAAAAAAATAAAATAAGTTTATGGAAGTAGTTAGATGACAATTCAGATGACGTCTTCGTAAAAACTTCATTGGGAAATAGCCACATAGCCAATTGGATATGAATATACTTTTAATTTAATAATCATTTTTCCAATATCCTTATGTGTTTTGATGCTTAAAACGGAATAAAACACATACAAAGAAATCATACTCATTAAATATTTTTCCCCCTGCATAGAATTTGTAAATTGATTTATATAGAGTGAAATATTCAAGTCTTTATAATTTCCTGTTCATTGGTTTGCCAGATATTTAGTAGATAACGTACAGTTTCAAAAGGAGCGAACATGATTGTTTTACTTGGGCTGGGACGTTGCGGCTGGCCTCCCGTCTGTCCTGATCACCATGCCACATGTTACCCAGTCACCCTCCTCGTGCCCAAAGAGTGTCGTCCTCTACAGGAGAAGTCTCCTCATCTTATCACCTTTTTCTGATTTCTTTACAAATAACTGATAATACTGAGAAAAGTGAGAAATACTTTCATATGTTCTTATCAGTTCTGCAACTATTAGAACAATTAACTTTTTAACTCATGTTTTAAGAAATGTACTTGAATGTGGTGTTGGGTTGGTAAGTTTGCAATTACTAATGAACTCATTAAATATCCTAAGCGTTATTTACCTGTCCTGAAAATTTCATCTGTACAGACCAAAATCTGCACCCTCGTCACAGCCCAGTGCCAACGGAGTCCAGACGGAGGGACTGGATTATGACAGGCTGAAGCAGGTGGGCGACCACTGGCAGCTTCCCTTTATTTGCACTTGTTCTTTTTAAAAAAATACCCCATGTGCATATATTTGACAGGTTGCGAACGTGTTTGAAAAGAATGTAGAGTTAGATATTTTTTTACGCAAGTTAAACAGTGGCATTAGTACTATGTTATTTTTTTGAAATCCTCATGTTTTGGTTCATAAGTTTGCATAAAGTGCCAGCAGTGGTGGAGGGTAGGGGCAATGGTTTAATGGTATATTATAAACTTTAAATGTAAGTGAATGATGTACAATTGCTTAAAAAAAAAAAAAGGGCTTGCACTTTTCACTTACCATTAGCCAAAATGGACCCACCAAGTCTGGTTTTGGCAAGAATGTGAGGAAAATGGGCACTCTCACCTCACATACTTCTGCTTTCTAGGAAGCAGTTTGGGAAGACAAACCAGAAGCCTTAAAAAATAAATGATTTACCTTTGAACCTGGCAATTTCACTTTGAAGAATTTATGCTAAGAAAATAGGATAGAAGTATATAACTCTACAGTGTGGAGGAGGGCTCTGCAGGGATTAAGGAACCATAACTGAGAATATTGAACAATGAATTGTGAACACTTGCCCACATTAGGTGAAACAGACAGGTAACCAAACAGTATGGACAGTTATATCGATTTTATAAAAAGGAAAAAGATATTGTTCGTATTTTGGATACATGTGCATTATATTTAATACCTATATACACAGAAAAAGAAATTGAAGGAGTAATAGGTGATTTTGGAACCTTGAACTATCTTATTTCTAGAAGAGGTAAATAATTTTTTTTTAAATGGTGGTGTTTAAAAGATTTGAAATGGAAGGCAGGACATCTTAGTAAAACAACTCTCAGTTTTGCAGACCTGAGTACAGATGTGCCTGTAGTGAAAAATTTAATTTTTGTCTTCTTACCCTGCACTTCAGGGTAGCCTCTGAAAATAACGGTTGTACAGATCACTGTAGCAGGCATTTATTGACCGTCTGGCGGACTTCAGTGCTACGCATTTGCTAGGTTATTAGCATGACATTGTCTCCTAATTCTCATAGTAGTCAGATAACATAGTGTTTGTACTCAAGTTGTGCACATCTGAGGTTCAGAGAAGTTAAATTTACTCAGTCCCACAGTCAGGATCAGAACCCAGTCTAAAGACTCAGACCTACTAGAGAAATGGACTTGAGGATATGGGCAGGGCGAAGGGTAAGCTGGGACAAAGTGAGAGAGTGGCATGGACATATATACACTACCAAATGTAAAATAGATAGCTAGTGGGAAGCAGCCGCATAGCACAGGGAGATCAGCTTGGTGGTTTGTGACCACCCAGAGGGGTGGGATAGGGAGGGTGGGAGGGAGGGAGACGCAAGAGGGAGGAGATACGGGAACATATGTATATGTATAGCTGATTCACTTTGTTATAAAGCAGAAACTAACACACTTAAATTATTAAAAAAAAAAAAAAAAGAACCCAGTCTTTATTCGGAGTTTGCTTTCCCCATTCTATCACTCATTTTTTAAAATGCCAACAAAGTTTGAGTGGAGCTTAAAAAGAGACCAATAATGTTGCAATAATGAGTTCAAAGTAAAAGTTAAATAGGAATTAAAGAGACAAATACTAACAATTTCAGATCAACCTAATTTTTATACTGCAAAGCTGTTTGAACAGTTCAGTTATGTAATTTGAAAAGCATGTGGTCATTGATAATCAAGCCCTTGTTTCCTGTGTGTTAAACATGGCTTTCTTTTCTTGAAAAACATTTTAAAATGGAGCAGTTGCACACATTTAAAATATGGTAAGTTCTTGGCAATCTGAAGTAGGGGACTAGAAGAGAGGATAGATTTGATTTTAGGACTGATTTTAAGTTAAATCAGTTAAAGTTAAGTTAAATAAGTTAATTTGAAAAAGGATATCTGTTAGTCCATATAATAACTTCTGTGCCTCAGTTTCCTCATTGGAAAATGAAGGAATTAAACCAATTGATAGTTTTCAACCTTATTTTAAGCGTGAAAAGCTTTTTTAAAAAATGAACCTTAAACACAGAGCAATTTAATGTTACCTGAGGTGTGTGCAGTATTAAAGTCAAATAACTTGAAATTAATCCTTCCAAAGGATAGCTATTTTTCACCCATTAAAACTGTGTCACCTTGGGCTTCCCTGGTGGCGCAGTGGTTGGGAGTCCGCCTGCCAATGCAGGGAACACGGGTTCGTGCCCTGGTCCGGGAAGATCCCACATGCCACGGAGCGGCTGGGCCCGTGAGCCATGGCTGCTGAGCCTGCGCGTCCGGAGCCTGTGCTCCGCAACGGGAGAGGCCACAACAGTGAGAGGCCCACATACCGCAAAAAAAAAAAAAAAAAAATTGTGTCACCTTATTAGCCCTTTTAGTTTTCATATTACACAGTCTTCATTTTTTAGCTAGGGGGTATCTATTATTTCAAATTGAACTTTATAAATAGAGATTTTGCAAAATATGTAAAGATGGATTGGTTTTCATAGAGGAAGGAGGGTCCAGAACATCACTATTAACTAGAAATATAACACGGGCCACATAGTACTTTACATTTGTAGTAGCCGCACTAAATACAGAGAAACAGGTGGTATTCACTTTAATATATTTTATTTAACCTAATATAGCCAAAATAATATTTCAATATATAATCAGTATTTTTAAATTACTAATGAGTTATTATACATTACTTGCTTCATACTAAATCTTTGAAATCTGGTGTCTGTTTTACATTTACAATGCATCTCGCTTCAGACTAGCCACGTTTCAAGTGCTCAATAGCTATGTGTGGCTGGCCCCTGCCTTATTGGACTGTGCACGTCCAGCGGGGTCCCATCCTCTTCCTTCCCCACCTATTAGGGCAGCCCCCGAGGGCCCTCCAGGGGAATCCTAGATTCCTTGAAACTTAGTTTGGCAGCTCTGGTGATTCCTAAGGAATCCCCATACTTCAGACCAGATGACAGATTTGCCAAGCGCTGGTTGTCCAGTTCACGTGCCTTCTTCCTTGAAACTTCTTTATGTATTGTTACCTCTTAGACAGCTCCCAGAAGACTAGATTAAAAGCAGAGCCATTACGTTTTCTAGAACTTATCTGAATCATACCTTTCACTGGATGACCAAGTAATTATTTTAGTTTTAGAAGACATTCTGCTTCATATTTTGCTAAGCTAGAATAAGCAAAGATTGGGAAGCAAAGACCATTAAAACAAAATTTACCAAGGTTAATCTTCTAAGACATAAATTGTGACTCTGGAAACGAAAAACTTACATAATATTTCATACATTCTTAAAATTTTATGTGAGCAAGAATCTTTTTAACAGTTTTTTTTTCTGTATTTCTGATGTTTTTCTCTTAATATTTTAGGACATTTTAGATGAAATGAGAAAAGAATTAACTAAGCTAAAAGAAGAGCTCATTGATGGTGAGTGTCTAAACAAATATGCTACCCTTTAGAGTAGTGTTCAAGAATAGCCATTTTAAAGAAAATGCAAATAAAGAAATACCCAGTTTATTACTTGAGGGTATAAAACAATTACTTTTCCATATTATCCTGCCCTTTACTTGGTTTAGGAGTCAGGGAGGAGCTCTGTCTCCTTCATACAATGGAAGTTATTTGTGAGAATAGGGGTAAGCAAGATTCCTAAGTTTCCGGTGTTGAGTAGTATTAGATGGAAAACTAGGTGAAGAGGTCTTTCTCTAGGTTACTTCTGTTCATCCATCCCATCCCACTGACCTCTTGTTTTAAGCCCCAAAAATCGGTGTTTTCGTTTTGTGTACAAAATGGAGAGAATATATAAATATATAGAAATCAGTGTGATCTTCGTAAAAATAAGAAAACAAAGATTTCTGCAATGAAAGATGCAAGCTTAGTGTGTCTTTTTATTACTGTGAGTTTGAATACAGTCGTTAAGATTTCTTAAGAATGAGTCACCCATTTATTTTACCTTATCATTATATTTACTTTTAATATTTTTCCTTTTCCTACCCAGCAATCAGGCAGGAACTGAGCAAGTCAAATACTGCATAGAGAATCAAACTAAGGAGAGACAGGACTTTAATCTGGAGAAAGGAGAAGAAAAAAAAAACTACAAAGAACAGCTGTGTTAACAACAACAAAACCCTTACGTCTTGTGAGCTGTAAGAAGAAAATGGAGACAAACAGTCGGAAGGAGGGAAAAACCAACATACTTTGAAAGCCTTCAGACATTACTACTCTGGCGATAAGCTGTTTCCCTCACAGTTTTCTGCTTTTCTCTGACCTTTACAACGGGATGGAGGAGTTCCTGTATCAGTTATGCAGAAAATACTGAATCCGTCAGGCAAGATCACCGTGCATTGAAATACTTTCATGTCAAGAGAAAATCGCACGTTTTCCACAATCCATTGCTAAAATAAAGAGGAGAAAGGCTTGAGAATTTTTTTTCAGAGAATGGTGATGAGGAATTTAGCAAGTTATGCTATTGTATTGTAAATGTTTCTCTCAGGTTTGTCTTCCTATCATATTTGATATTCCATGAATAATTGAGTTCAGCCCTGTGTAGGTTAAGATCATAAAATGTGGAACAAATGGAATTGTATGTGCTTTCAAAGGGTGATATTTATAAGAAAGTGTCCTAAAAATGATTTGTTCGGAGTGAGGAATTTTAGAATGATAGGAAGTCTCTCGAGTTTAGCCTTCATGCAATTTTGTAGATTCAGACCTAAAATTTGTCCAGAATTTAAAGATTTAGATGCCTTCCTAAATTGTTACAATGCTTTACCAAATCTGTGACTCCTACATAACACAAACCAGTGGTCAAATGTAAAACAGTATATTGTAGATTCACTGTAGGTTTTCAACCTTTTTTAGATTTATGCACGTGGACATTTTTATAATGTAATTACAACCACCACAAAATTAGCTTTTTAAATTGCAGACAGTAATGCATGTCAAACTAATATGTAGTGGCCTTTTCAAGGCCTAGTCCCAGGGAAAACATTTTGTAGAGTATAGGGGAGCGGGAGGAAGGGAAGGAATAATTTTTTATTTAAAGTTAATTTCTGCACTATCTTCGTTCTCAGTTATCTGCATGAATAATGATGAGGAATATTTTGTGACTTTAATTGGTAAATATGTTAACAGCACCAAGTACTTAATCTTTTACATCATGTCTTCAGCTGTTTGTATTTTCACTTGAGTAAGTTCAGTGGTCTGAAACATGATTCTGAGCTTCACATGAATGACATCTTAGTGTGGAACTCAAAAGTTCCATCCCTGAATTTGGCAGTTGTTATTACCTAGGTGCCCTGCAGTTATACAGGTATTCAGGTACACATTCCTGACTACAAAGCTGCTTTTGAACCTTGTTATGTTGAAATACTAGAAAAGTAACAATGACGGCAGCAAATTAAGGTCACAGAAATCATTAGATAAAGGGAAAACAACGAGGGGGTTCCTACATAATTTTCTTTTAATAAATAAAGTGAGACTTAGGTGGTGGGAAGAAGGAACTAGGTACTCTCCTTACCACCATGTGTGTGCGTGCGTGCGTGTTTGTGTGGGCACTCACGTGTGTGTATGTTATCCACTCCCTTTTCTTTGAAACTTCTAAGATTAAAATAGGGGAGAAATCCTGTATGTTGCAATGATAGAATTTTTTGAAATTTTAGGAAATCACAGTTCTCCAGGCTCTCCATCTTGATTTATGCTTGAGTTATTATGTGCCATATTTGCTTTGAAACCTTTGATTATCAGTAGTTTTACTAAAATTTTGAAGAAATAATCCACTTTCGTCTGCTTTCTAGATTTTCATAATCTAAGTTCATAAGACAGAACTTGTTGATAGCATAGTTTTCTAAGCGCTGCAAGTTTGCAGCCATTACCACTTCGGAGAGGTTTGAATGAGGGAATGTTTTGCCCTTGTTAAAATAGTTCCTGTTTCCGTAGAAACTTCATTTTTAGATCTGTGATGGATGAGCTATCATAATTCAAGTATACAGTTCTTTTTTTCTATCAACTCTTCATTGTCATCCAATAGTGAAGACATTACAGATGCAGCAAGCTTATGACGTACTACTTTCTAAAAGAAATAGGAGGCATTTTCATCTTTATTATTGTGCTTTTGGTTATGCAAACACTTTGATGATACCAATGTTTATGTCCCCCATAAATCTGGTCAGAAATCGCTTTTGATTTTGTTGATTAAGTTAAACGGTCTATAGTAGGATAGAGTACTGGGTACAAGTGGTCCAAAGTAAGATAAAAGACTACGGTAAAAATGCTAGATCTTAAAAAAGAAACTGGTTTATGCACTAAACGTTTTGTGCCTTGGTCTAATATTAACATGATGTCTGTGTAAAATGACAAAAAGAACCAGTGTTGAATCACGTTTTATTTCCTGTCGTTCTGCATTATCCCAGATTGCTAAATGTGTCCTTTCCAAGAAGTGTGATTGAATTACTGTATACATTTGCTGTCCTATGTGACAGTTTTGTCATTGTTAGAGATTTCAGTAATTAAAATGGGAAACAGAAGCTTAGGTTATTTTCCTTATCAAAACTATGTTCCTTGGAGCCACAATATTATGATGGTTTTCGTGCTCTTGTACATTGGATGTCTTAAGCTGAGTGCAGTTTAGGGGATCCTTTCTAATTACAGGAAGGTACTTCTTTCCTTCAACACTGTGATCTGACCTGTGACAAATCTGTACTATACACTATGTAAATGGCTAACAAGTCAATTGCAAACCAACTGAATGTACAAATCTTAGTGCTGGTGCTGAAATCTCTTCAGAATAGTCATCATGATCTCAAAGTTTGTTTCAAAATTTGCAAGCATCAAGTGTCAATCAAAACTGAAGATGAAACACTAATGAATGTTGAATTCTCATGCTTTAGGTGTACTTCCTTATTAGAGTTTTTGGTTCTCTGCTATTTTTACCGTACTGTTTCATTTAAATTTCCTACATGCTAACTTCGTTTGTGCGATTGAAATAAAATTGCAGTATATACGTGTTGCTTGTTTGTGACACTTAGATAATCTTCTGACATAATCTGTTGGTTCTAAAATAAGTTGTATTGAATGTAGAAAACACTCTTTAAAGTCCATGACTTCACTTCTTAAAGTTTACATACCAACACTACAAAGATTTCATAAGTCATAAATGCTAAGTAATGTATACAAAGGGAATATGTGATAATGTATCTATCTACTTTTTGCTTGAAATAGCTGTTGGGTGTTCCCTGTGTGTTCTTATTTTCTCTCGGATCCAGCTTGGTACAGTGTCTTACAGTCAAGGGAGTGATAAATGTTTAAGTTTACTCCATTTTGTTTTACAGCGTGGATACGTTAAACTCATTTATGCAGTTAAAATTTTCCTTTATATAGTTTGCAGTGTAAAGGATATTGTAAGGGCCTTACCAAGTACTGAGTTTTAAATATAGTGAAATCTGTATCTGTAGTGTTTGTTTATACAGTAGTGTTTGTTTATATAGTGTTTGTTTATATGTAGTTCTTGAAACCCACATATAAGCCGCAGTACGTTTTATCTGACTCTTACAAAGTACTGATTTTGAGTTCGCTTTAAAATTCTAATGTCTTCGTTAGAAATACAACAGTCTTTGTCTGCTTTCTCCTACCGGACCCCAACTTTTCCCTCCCTCATCCTCTCCGCTTCTCGTGGACCCCACGTTCCTGCCACTCACTGACGTTTGTAGTCACTACCCAGTCCACAGGTGTAAACATATTAACTGATTTTTTTCTCTCTGTCCCGTCTAGGGTTCTTGCTTCCCTTCATGTATAAATCAGAATGTTTGTCTACAAACTAAGAGTCACTTCCCATTTAAAAATGAATGAAGTAACAGGTGGTAACCTTTAAAATTTGCCTAGATACAACTTTGTCTCCTAAATTTGTATATACATCCAGTGCCCTTGTGAAGAATTGGCCTTTGAGTTCTAAGTAGTGTTATCCTTTGAAGCACAGTTTACAAAGGTATGCTCCAGGATCTCTGTGATTCCTTTCTGTAGCCATCCTGACTTTATATATAACCCTATTACCCTTTCAGTTCTATCGATTAAGCATAAGAATGACATCATATAAAGCATACTGTGTGAAAGAACTCTGGGAGCTCTTAATTCCTTGATGAAGCTATTGCATCATCTGCTTTCCTGAAGACATTTACTCCAGCATTCACATTGAAACTCCACACGTGTTCCTGGTAGTACCGTTATTGTTTTTTAATAGATCAATTCGTATCTGTACATCTCCTCAAAGCTCTAAGGGATGAGAAAGGGATCCCGAGAGTATAATGAAATTAGTGATGCTAATACCTCTGACTTTTCACTGAAAAGCCATTTCATATTTAGACTTAGGTGTTTCTGAAGTATGCATAAGGAATCTTTGTCAATCTGGGTGAATAGAATCGTCCCAGGTATCTTTGGCTACAAAAAGACACAGTGGAGAACATTTATTTTTAAGAGTAGTTTTCTCTCAAAATAAGCACATTTGCCTAAGAAGCTGAAGTTGGTAACCCCTCAAGAAATGACTGTTGAGCCAAGTACTGCTGAGGGTCTAGAATGCAGATTTTCTCTGTTCCAAACTTCCAAATAGGCTGTGGGTTATGTTTGTTTCCTTTATGTTGTCTCTAGATAATTTTTGAGGCTCAGGAGGTTTTTATATCTGTTCATAATACTTTAAAAGTGAAACCTTCAAATTTTCAAAAAGTCTGAAATTGCTTAGAAAAGAAAAAATATTACTAGAGTAAATTTAGGAGGGTTAGGGATGTGCAGCATCAACTTAAATGGAGGTCTAGGATACCTCCCTTGTTGATACCAATGGTGAGTTCACAGAGAAGCAAATTGAATCAGTAAGGAGATACAACTGAAAGCTCCTAATGTTATGAACTATGTAAATTTATCTCTTTCTAAAGAGCTTTTTTTTTTTTAAAGTAACAGTCCCTGTGAGAGGGTAGATAAATGATTGTCATAATGACTTAGGATGTTGAAAGAATTGCTGCCACATTTATTGGTTATTTTTATTCAATCTGATG